GAGAAACTCCTCAAGAGTTATGTTTAGCTGATCCGCGGCGGCAATGGTTGACTGACACTAGTATTTCGCTAATCGATACCAAATTATAACTATATTTGTTGTTAATATTTATTATATAGTAATTTATGAATTAATTTTTTAATTGCATTTTAATGAACAAAATTTAATAATTTATTTTATAAATATTTTTTCTGCCGACAAAAGTTTTTGTCGTTTAATTTTCTTAATTGTAAATTTATTAATAAAATGGTTGCAAATAAATGCGAGTCAAACACAATACGTGGTAAATATTATTTAATTAATAATGTGAACAAATCGCTAATAAAACAGTGAATAAAATTACGGTATATTAAATTTATAATAATTATGAAAATATGTACCGGTAATCACTTTTTGTGTACTTGTCTATAATGTATGTTTATATTACTCTTATAACTGCACCGGTACTGACATCCGGGCCAATGACAGGCGTAGGGCTTGACATTGTTGTGGACATTCATATGCTCTTTCAAATAATCGGGTCGAGGGAACCGTTTGCCACATTCTGGCCAATCGCAGACATACGGCCGCTCACCCGTGTGTGTCCTTTCGTGTAGCTTTAGTCTATACCTAACACCCGTAAAGTCACAGCCCGGCCAAAGACACGGCACCCGTACAGGCTTTGCGACCTTTCGGGGCATAGAGTGGACACTCACCCGATGTTTGAGCACCTCATTGTATGAATAAAACCTTTGAGCGCATCCCTCGACAGTGCACTTAATGGTCGGTTTATTCAAATGGATCCGTTTGTGAGTTTCAAGAGTGCTTTGATTGATATAAACCTTTTGACAGCCAATGAAATCGCAGGTAAATCGGCGATCAGTTTCATGGATAACCAAATGTGACTTTAAATCGTGATTATTTATAAACCGTTGTCCGCACTCTTCGTGCGGACACGCGAATGGCTTGTCGTCGGTGTGGATAATGCGGTAATGCTTTTGCATTGCTGACAAAAGTTTGAACTTTTTGCCGCAATCGGGATATTCGCAGACAGTGTCCCGACTCTTGTGGACACCAAACAAATGCATTTTTAAAATTTTGTACATTTTGAATGTCTTGTGGCAATCGATTTGGTCACAGATATATGTATTAGTGGTCGAGTCATAGCATCTGTCCTTAAGCTCTTGGCGTTGCTGTCGATCGGATTCACACCTCTTCTTGTCGTGTCTTCGCATATGAGAGTCGAGTCCGCCGACGGATATACACCGACGGCCACACACTTTGCATTCAAATGGCAAATAGTTTGTGTTCACAGACAGTTGTTTAGGCTTTCGTTTCAATGGTTTACGACTTTTATTGTCTTTAATACTCTTGAGGTCTGTGTCTGTCGTCGATGTCTTCCTCTCATCCGAGTCTTCATTAGTCACCACTTTATCCATCGATTCATTGTCTTCTCGTTTTACCACTTTTCGTAATTTCTTTTTGTAAACTCGCTTTTGTTTCGGTTTTTGTGGTCCAATTGTTTGATCCGTTTGTTTGTCACTCAATTGATCCAATCGTAGCGACAATAGTCTGAAGTGTTGTTTGTCTTACAATCGATAAGTGTTTCATATTTTGAGTGNATTTTTAAACCACAATTCAGCATAAATAATGTGATTAATAGGATCTCAATCCCCATTAAATTGTAATTAAATATAATTATTAATTAATTATAAATTGTGTGCAATTGAGAGACAATCCCCTAAAATAGCTTTCATGTAAAAGTCGTTTGTTTTCAGCCATTAATTCATCCAAAATATCATTTATACTAATATTTAATGACTTTTTATTTCTCTTCATTTTAACCATAATTTAATAAAATTTATAAATTATTAAAACATTCAATAATTTTAAATCAATAGACAATTAAAGGCACAAAAACTCATTCAAAACAATAACACAAACATTAATGAAAGCTATTTTAGGGGATTGTCTCTCAATTGCACACAATTTATAATTAATTAATAATTATATTTAATTACAATTTAATGGGGATTGAGATCCTATTAATCACATTATTTATGCTGAATTGTGGTTTAAAAATTGAAAAACAAATTAATACCGGTATAGATTTTAATTCCTATTTATTATAACTAAATAAAATAATTGACAATAAATTATTAAACGAATAGAAAATTATTTATTTTATCTCAAAAATACTTTAATTACACATTAATTGAATGAATCAAACAATATATGAAAACTAATACAAACTCTTTAATTACAACAAAACAAAAGTAATTCACTTTCTGTGGACTGATTTCATGTGTTTATACCTCGAGGAGTGATCGGATGACCTGTACGTACATCCGGGCCAATGACAGGCGAATGGCTGCACATTCTTATGGATATTCATATGTGTCCGCAGACCACTCGGATCTTTGAACCCTTTGCCACATTCTGGCCAATCGCAGACATAGGGTCGTTCACCCGTATGCATGTTCTGATGTAAGTCCATTCGGTGCTTATATACGGTCGTGTACTCACATCCCGGCCACTCACACATTATCATAAGTGTTGGCTTTTTCATTGGCTTAAAGTTATGGACAGCTCTGCGATGTCTATTCATGAAATGCTGGGTTAAGAATAGTTGAGTACATCCATCGACAGTGCATTTAAAAGTGGGTTCATTGCTGTGAAGTTTTTGATGAGTCTTAAGGCTGGTGTTGGACTTAAATGTTACAATAAATTATTAAACGAATAGAAAATTATTTATTTTATCTCAAAAATACTTTAATTACACATTAATTGAATGAATCAAACAATATATGAAAACTAATACAAACTCTTTAATTACAACAAAACAAATGTAATTCACTTTCTGTGAACTGATTTCATGTGTTTATATCTCGACGAGTGATCGGATGATCTGTACGTACATCCGGGCCAATGACAGGCGAATGGCTGCACATTGTTGTGGATATTCATATGTGTCCGCAGACCACTCGGATCGTTGAACCCTTTGCCACATTCTGGCCATTCGCAGACATAGGGTCGTTCACCCGTATGCATGTTCTGATGTAAGTCCATTCGGTGCTTATATACGGTCGTGTACTCACATCCCGGCCACTCACACATTATCATAAGTGTTGGCTTTTTCTTTGGCTTAAAGTTATGGACAGCAATGCGATGTCTATTCATGAAATGCTGGGTTAAGAATAGTTGAGTACATCCATCGACAGTGCATTTAAAAGTGGGTTCATTGCTGTGAAGTTTTTGATGAGTCTTAAGGCTGGTGTTGGACTTAAATGTCTTTCCACAGCCGTTGAAATCGCAGGCAAACGGCTGAACCGTTTGGTGCATAACTTGATGTTTCTTCAAATCACAAGCCCTCGTGAATAGACGGCCGCAGTCCGGGTGCGGACACGGGAACTGCGGACACGGGAACTGCCGATCGGTTTGCATCTGTTTGCAATGCCTTCTCATTTTAAACTTACATTTGAATACTTTGCCGCAACCGTCGTAATCGCAGACCACTTTGTCAACTACATGCACACGAATCACGTGTTGTCTCAAACTTTCCAATAATTTGAACACTCGCTGACAGCCCGTGCGGTCACAGATATAGGTATCGGTGGTCGAGTCATAGCACCGGCTCTTCAACTCCCGTTTTAGCACTCGCTTGGCTTCTGTGGCCGCGTTGTTGTGTTTCTTCCGGTGTCTCAAAAGATTTCTGTAAACATTTGTCTGATATTCACAGCCCTCGCGATCGCATCGAAACGTTTCCGATGTCTTGCGCGACAAGTGTTTCAACTTTTTGAGCCGTTTGTATTGTTCTGTTTCAGTGATCGCGTCAATGGATCCATCGGTCGGTGCGTTCATGTGATCCAATCGATGCCTCCATAAACCGACGTTCGAACGGTAACTCTTAGTACAGCCCTCGAAATCGCAGGCAAACGGATGTACGGTATGGTTAGCGTCTAAATGCCGGTCCAATTGCTGTCTCGTCTGATACCGATGGTCGCAGTTCTCGTGCGGACACAACTCGTTACCACTAGTGGTCGGATTATTTCTGGCGGAGTCGCGATGTCTTGTGATCACGTGGTCTCTCAGTTTATGGAAAACTTTAAACACTCGTTGACAGCCCGTGTGGTCACAGGTATAGGTATCGGTGGTCGAGTCATAACAACGGCGCTTAAGTTCTTCTCGTAGGACACGATTCGCTTCATTCTTAAGATTGTCGTGACTTTTTCGGTGTGCGACCAGATTTGGCCATAAGTGGATACTATAGTCACAGTCTTCGAGATCGCACTGATATATGGCCTGAGTTTCGCCGACCGGCGGCCGAAGCCGTTTCCTTTCCAAACGCTTGTCGACCGCCGAAGTCGATGGCCTCCACTCTTCCCCTGAATCTTCATTAGCGGCCATCTCTTCCCCGAAATCATTGTCCACTTCATTGCTATTGTCTTCTATTTTTGGTGTTTTGGTATAAAATGGATTCTTATAGACCTTTGGCTGTCGTTTCGCTTTCAAACCCTTCC